AATCGGAGATGCGTAAGTTCTATTCAGTTGTGTATTTGTAAACTAAAGTCTTTGAAAATGTAATAAGTTTTACGAAACGCGCTCGTGTCGCGTCAGACTAGAAATAAAAATATATATATATATATATATATATATATATATATATATATATATATATATATATATATATATATATATGTCGTACCTAATAGCCAGAACGCACTTCTCAGCCTACTATTCAAGGCCCGATTTGCCTAATAAGCCAAGTTTTCCTGAATTAATATATTTTTTCTAATTTTTTTCTAATGAAATGATAAAGCTACCCATTTCATTATGTATGAGGTCAATTTTTTTTTATTGGAGTTAAAATTAACGTAGATATATGACCGAACCTAACCAACCCTACCTAACCTAACCTAACCTATCTCTATCGGTTAGGTTAGGTTAGGTAGCAGAAAAATTTAGGTTAGGTTAGGTTAGGTAGGTTAGGTAGTCGAAAAAACATTAATTCATGAAAACTTGGCTTATTAGGCAAATTGGGCCATGCATAGTTGGCTGAGAAGTGCGTTCTGGCTATTAGGTACGACATATATATATATATATATATATATATATATATATATATATATATATATATATATATATCGTACCTAGTAGCCAGAACGCACTTCTCAGCCTACTATGCAAGGCCCGATTTGCCTAATAAGCCAAGTTTTCATGAATTAATTGTTTTTCGACTACCTAACCTACCTAACCTAACCTAACCTAACTTTTTCGGCTACCTAACCTAACCTAACCTATTAAGATAGGTTAGGTTAGGTTAGGTAGGGTTTGTTAGGTTAGGTTAGGTTCATTCATATATCTACGTTAATTTTAACTTCAATAAAAAAAAATTGACCTCATACATAATGAAATGGGTAGCTTTATCATTTCATAAAAAAAAATTAGAGAAAATATATTAATTCAGGAAAACTTGGCTTATTAGGCAAATCGGGGCTTGCATAGTAGCCTGAGAAGTGCGTTCTGGCTAATAGGTACGATATATATATATATATATATATATATATATATATATATATATATATATATATATATATATATATATATATATATATATATATATATATATATATATATATATATATATATATAAATAAGCGTATTAAAAATGACTGGTATTCACACTACTCTGCCTCTTAATTTGGTACAGACCTTGGTATTATATTATTACCTTAGTAAGTCTGTAGGTAGCGAAGAAGGGAGGTTGGAGTGAGTAGTTATTACCTCGGAGGAAGTTATTAAACTGAAAATTTAAGTCAGTTAACATGTCAAGACTGGGTAAAGTCTTTGCCGAGGTCCTAAAAGAATTTAAAGATAGGTGAGCCAAAACTTCTATATATAATATATATATATATATATATATATATATATATATATATATATATATATATAACTGAAAACTCACACCCCAGAAGTGACTCGAACCCATACTCCCAGGAGCCACGCAACTGGTATGTACAAGACGCCTTAATCCACTTGACCATCACGACCGGACATAATGAGGTGATAGCCGAGGCTATTTGAACCACCCCACCGCCGGCACTCGGATAGTAATCTTGGGCATAGCATTTTACCAAATCACCTCATTCACCTCACCTCAATTGGTAAAATGCTATGGCTTCAACCATGCAACCCGTCCTCGACTCAAGTCCATTCCATCCAGCGGTCAACCCCACAGACGCATTCATAAATTTTTACATGCTGTTCTGTCAAAACGGGAATTTTCTCAAATATAACATAATATTATAATATAGTAGCATATTGTGAATAAGTTAGGTTAAGTTAGGTGTTCAGGTTCTGTTGGCAATTATTTTGTATTTATAGTACGTGGGTGAAGCATTTACAGCGTTGTGGTTCGAACAACATTCGTCAGTGAAGCACTTGTTCCGGAACTGTTCGAATGTCATTAGTTGAGAGTCGCAGCCCATCCTCCAAACAAAGACCCAAAAGTGACTCCATCCCCCCCCCCCCCGCCCGGCCAGGTGTTTATGAATAAAAAACGGTTTACACACGACTCACAACTGATTTCGTTCGAACACTTCCGGAACAAGTGCTTCACTGACGAATGTTGTTCGAACCACAACGCTGTAAATGCTTCACCCACGTACTACAAATACAAATAATCGTCAACAGAACCTAAACACCTAACCTAACCTATGCCTATATATGCACAATGTGCTAATATATTATAATATTAATTTATATTTTAGAAAATTCCCGTTTTGACTGAACAGCATGTGTTGAAAATTTCCAACACTAATACACTACCATTGTATTATAATACATCATTATTATATACTAATTACAGTAGTTATTAATTTCACTAACGGTAGTGTTTATATAAATTAATATTTCTTTATCTGAGCCTATTGCTAATATTCTCACGACATCGAGAGGCAGGATTGCGTCAGATAATGTACATTTAATCATATTTATTACCAATATGTTAGAAAATTGAATGTGGTTCTCTAAAATTATCAGTATTCTGTACAGTAATTAACTATGGATAATATAGCTCCCATTAATCCAAAACCGAGAGTTATTAACTGAAATTATTATCAAGCAGCAGTTTCATCTGTTACGTACGAATGCTATGGAGGAGATAAATTTTCTCTCCATTTCTCGATTAACATCGTTTAACGAGAATATGATATTATTTAATTCCCTATAATTGCAACCCAGTTCTCATTAACGCATTACATCAGTAATTACACGAAAAAGAATTATCCGTGATTAGTAATTTCTGTTGTGAATGCGTGAGACGAGTTGAGGGAGGGCGGAGAGACGCCGCCATTACTTCGCTAGCAGCTACCACGCCGTGAGGACGCCAACAATTACATCGTGCGTCCCGGGAGTGTCGATTACCATCAATACTACGTTAGGCCCTTATATTTAATCGGCCTAGGAGCGTGCCATTGCTCCAGTAGCAATCTGAAACTGCTTCGGTGGACAACCAGCAGGTTAAGTGCCCTAATATTTGTTCTATCGAGAGATCTCTAGTTATATCAATGTACTGTGCACTGTCCATCGTTAAGCCACGCGACCTCCTCAAACAATAAGTACGTCCATAAGGAATTAAATTTATTCCTTTTATGGCATAGTGCAGATATTATATAGTAGGTGTAACCAATTAGTATATTCAGTTGAAATTTCAGCTTGTGTTGTAAGTGGCCGTGGTCCTCATGTTCCCACGCCATGCTGGAACTCACGTGTGGCCGCAAGTAGCAGACGACGCCATTGCACCTCTACCTCTCCGTTCACTATTACAGCTAAGCAGCTGAAATCCTTTCTATTGTTTATTTAATTGAGCAAATTCTAGATCAGTCAAAGAGATTTAGTTTATTTGATTTGAGATACTTAATGGAATATGTTAGCCTCATAAAAGTCAAATGAGAATAATTGCTCAGTTTATCAACATATAATCTTTTTACCATTAATCAATTTATCTAATGTTAATAGTATTTAGTAGAATTACTAATTTTATTCGCGGAAGAACCAGCCTCGATGAAGCGTACTGGGATTAGATTACTTCTGGTATTAACCCCCAGTTTTGTGAAGGACGGAAAGTTTATTCTCGAACATTAATATTATACAGTCCATAGAAGTTTAAAGAATAATCTTTAATAGTTTCTTATCCATAGGCACTGGTATTTCAGTCCTTATCATTTAGCTTTATCTGTTTCCCTGTTCAGTCAAAATAGGATGGTCCTTCGATTAATTTAAATTAATCTATTAATTAAATATCAATCAATTAATAGAGAGTAAACTTTCTTCCCAACACAAAAATATGGTCCTTCGAACCGGATATATTACAATTAATACTATAATCATAACTAATTACTGTGTGTAGTAATCTAGGCTAACCACATTTTATTAATCGTGGCTACCGGCAGAGTAACACCTAGGTTAGCCTAATACACACCAATTTATTTGCTGCTTATACCTCATGTATAAAGTAGCACTCGTGGGACACAGTCAATTGCCCACAACACTAGACCTATACCTCATATTGAGGTAAGGATCTTCAGGTCACCAGGAGCAACAGCTCATAACTTCTATAATAACTCCACATTAACCCTGCGTCAGAGTGGCCTCACCATCTAACTATTATTTATTTAGGTGGTAATGACACCCATCCTACTCGACACCCAGCTTCACCCATCCTACTCGACACCCAGCTTCACCCATCCTACTCGACACCCAGCTTCACCCATCCTACTCGACACCCAGCTACACCCATCCTACTCGACACCCAGCTACACCCATCCTACTCGACACCCAGCTTCACCCATCCTACTCGACACCCAGCTACACCCATCCTACTCGACACCCAGCTACATCCATCCTACTCGACACCCAGCTACATCCATCCTACTCGACACCCAGCTACATCCATCCTACTCGACACCCAGCTACACCCATCCTACTCGACACCCAGCTACATCCATCCTACTCGACACCCAGCTACATCCATCCTACTCGACACCCAGCTACACCCATCCTACTCGACACCCAGCTACATCCATCCTACTCGACACCCAGCTACACCCATCCTACTCGACACCCAGCTACACCCATCCTACTCGACACCCAGCTGAGGTAATTAATCACCTTAAAACAATAATTTCCTCATTTAAACTTGTTAGCAGTTCAGTAGTGTTCACACTGGTGGAACCTCGCCAACTAAACAATAATAATCGTTGGGAAATGAGTCCAGAATATTACCAAAGAGCTGCCAAATACATAAACTTTAGGCTTCAAGTAACACTCACACACTCACCTCAACATGGAGGCTTCAAGTAACACTCACCTCAACATGGAGGCTTCAAGTAACACTCACACACTCACCTCAACATGGAGGCTTCAAGTAACACTCACCACACTCACCTCAACATGGAGGCTTCAAGTAACACTCACCTCAACATGGAGGCTTCAAGTAACACTCACACACTCACCTCAACATGGAGGCTTCAAGTAACACTCACCACACTCACCTCAACATGGAGGCTTCAAGTAACACTCACCTCAACATGGAGGCTTCAAGTAACACTCACCTCAACATGGAGGCTTCAAGTAACACTCACCTCAACATGGAGGCTTCAAGTAACACTCACCTCAACATGGAGGCTTCAAGTAACACTCACCTCAACATGGAGGCTTCAAGTAACACTCACCTCAACATGGAGGCTTCAAGTAACACTCACCTCAACATGGAGGCTTCAAGTAACACTCACCTCAACATGGAGGCTTCAAGTAACACTCACCTCAACATGGAGGCTTCAAGTAACACTCACCTCAACATGGAGGCTTCAAGTAACACTCACCTCAACATGGAGGCTTCAAGTAACACTCACCTCAACATGGAGGCTTCAAGTAACACTCACCTCAACATGGAGGCTTCAAGTAACACTCACCTCAACATGGAGGCTTCAAGTAACACTCCTCAACATGGAGGCTTCAAGTAACACTCACACACAAATGCCTCAAATAAAAATCACTAACGTCAGGGACGTTTCTTATGCAACGTCTCCGGTGTTGATGGGTTCTGAGCTAAGTGCAGGGTGAAGAGAGGCCCTCAAACCCCCCCCCCCCCCCAACACACACACTAGGGGGAGGAAGAAGGGAATTATCAGGGGAAGGGGTCAGGATCAGCGTTTGTGATGGGACGGTGATAGTGCCCACCCACTTGTGGATGGTCGGGTATTGAGCGTCGACCTGCATGAAGCGAGACCATCGCTCTACCGTCCAGATTAAGTGATGGAGAGTAAACCATTATTTCTCAAGTGTGTTTAATCCAAGAAACAACTCCACTGGAGCCTTAATGAGGGTTCGAACGTGAACGGTGAATGTTCCCGGACGTTCCCGGATATGTAGTTCTCTCTGTATTGTCACATCCAACTTTTCTTCCTAAAAATCTTAGTATTTTAATTCTTTTTAATAAAATATATTTCGTCTGGTATATAAATTTCTCAGCTTAAATTTGCTCACACTTACTATCATGCTTCTCTCTCACTTTTGTCTGATTCTCTTGTTTTCTCTCTTTATTCCTGGTTCTTCTCTGGCATCTGAAGGCTTTAACATTTATCACCCAAATTTAGCAAAATCTCATTGAGATTCAGAGACTTACTTCATATTCATTTACACTTTTTTCAAACCATTGATTCAGTTTCTATTATTAATCGTCTATTTCAATCCGCTCTAGATAAGGCTGAATTCTATGGAGCCCGACTACTGCCTAAGTACTGTGAACTGCACATAGAACGACTCCTCACAGTAGTAGTGTGGACCTGGGGAAAGACTGGCCCTTCACAGTACTAGGAGGGACCTGGACAAGACTGGCCCTTCACAGTAGTAGTGTGGACCTAGATATAGGTCGGGAGAGTGGTCAACAAGTACGTAGGGTTGTTATAGGTCAAGATTTGTCTGAAGACAGGAAATGTTCGTGAATGGGTTTAGTAGGTATATGTTTAGGAGAATGGGTTTGAACAGCGGTATATATATATATATATATATATATATATATATATATATATATATATATATATATATATATATATATATATATATATATATATATATATATATATATATATGTATATATGTATATATGTATATATGTATATATATATATATATATATATATATATATATATATATATATATATATATATATATATATAAATATATATATATATATTTATATAAGCGTCTCTAATACTGACGCTTATATAGCCATAGATCGTTATATTGTTATCTCAGACGAGATATCCCCCCCCCCGTCCTGCACAACCCGGGGATGTTTGCCCCGTCACTATAGGATAAGGGCGGCCGGCAGCAATATTGAGCTCAATATTGACCTGCGCTACATAAAGTTATCTGCAGGAAGACCGAACAACTTCAAAGGGATGGAAAATATTAACTCGGGTCTAAAATATACACGAATCCTTAATATTACGATATTTAGCGATGCTCGGGAAGATTATAATGTGTGTTAGAGCCTTAGAGAATATTTAGGTAATCACGACTTGCTATTCAATTAGTTTATGGGACATTAATGATTATTATAAAAATCAGTTCGCTAGCCTCTCATGGAATGAATACCTCGGCTTTGATACTAATCTTAAAGGTTTAAATAAAACTGTTGATATGATTCCTGCATTAAATGTGAATGTTTTGTAACTGATCTACTTACGAGTTGAATGATTCACTCGTCAACTGTCTCGAAATCGTGATTGACAACCGACAGACAGACTCCACAGCAGCACAGACTGTGGTGGAGTGACTGGCAGCAGCATCGCTGGCCCCAATAACTCTGGTCCCGTAACATAGAGTCTAGGCTAAGAGTGTTTGATGTCACAGATTTGAAAAAGGTATCTGGGCTTTGATCCCCAGTACAGGCAAAGGCGTTTTACGCATATTTCTGCCTGTTATTCTTGCATGTGGTTGTGAGGACAAATCTGCCTCACATCTTCCATGATAATAATCAATTATTTTATCCCTAATATATGCATCGCACATCTCAGTGTACAATAGCACAGTATACAGTAGCACAGTGTACAGTAGCACAGTGTACAGTAGCACAGTGTACAGTAGCACAGTGTGCAGTAGCACTGTGTACAGTAGCACAGTGTACAATAGCACAGTGTACAGTAGCACAGTGTACAGTAGCTCAGTGTACAGTAGCACAGTGTACAATAGCACAGTGTACAGTAGCACAGTGTACAGTAGCACAGTGTACAGTAGCACAGTGTACAGTAGCACAGTGTACAGTAGCACTGTGTACAGTAGCACAGTGTATAGTAGCACAGTGTACAATAGCACAGTGTACAGTAGCACAGTGTACAATAGCACAGTGTACAGTAGCACAGTGTACAGTAGCACAGTGTACAGTAGCACAGTGTACAGTAGCACAGTGTACAATAGCACAGTGTACAATAGCACAGTGTACAGAAGCACAGTGTACAATAGCACAGTGTGCAGTAGCACAGTGTGCAGTAGCACAGTGTACAATAGCACAGTGTACAGTAGCACAGTGTACAGTAGCACAGTGTACAATAGCACAGTGTACAGTAGCACAGTGTACAATAGCACAGTGTACAGTAGCACAGTGTACAGTAGCACAGTGTACAGTAGCACAGTGTGCAGTAGCACAGTGTGCAGTAGCACAGTGTACAGTAGCACAGTGTACAGTAGCACAGTGTACAATAGCACAGTGTACAATAGCACAGTGTACAGTAGCACAGTGTACAATAGCACAGTGTACAGTAGCACAGTGTACAATAGCACAGCGTACAGTAGCACAGCGTACAGTAGCACAGTGTACAGTAGCACAGTGTACAGTAGCACAGTGTACAGTAGCACAGAAAGTAAATATATGTGGAAGGAAAAGTACTATTACCATACAAGCAGATATGTGCCCCCAGGAATGTTAAATACAAACCGGAACACTGATGAACAAGTCACTGACGAGATGACGCCCTTCCTCTCTCTCTCTAACCAACGTGTCTCACTGAGTTTGGGTGTGAGGTGATGTGTGTTGTGTGATGTTGGAGGCAGGCCTCTGTACGGCTCTCAGTTTCCTGTGTAGTGATTCTGATTCTTAGTGTTGATATGGTGAAGTCAAGGGGAATATTTGTCCATCTATATTATTGAATCATGAATATATATATATAGCCCAGATAGCCAGGAGCGCTGTGTTGGAAAGTTCCAACACTGATACATCCCTATTGTATCATAATACATCCGTATTGTATACTAAGTACAGTATCTATTAAGCATACTAATTGTAGTACTAATATAAATTAATATTTCCCTATCTGGGCGTCATTTACTAAAATTCTCACCACATCGAGAGGCAGTATTGCGTCAGATAATGTCCAGCAGACATAGTTATTGTCAACTTGTTAGAGAATTGAATAATATTCTCAACATTATATTGAATAATATTCTCAACTCGGTGTTCTTTATAAGGATTAATATCTGATAATATAACAACAAGTGATTCCATAACCTCGAGTTATTAACTAAAATATCACTATATAACAATTTTATCTGTTATATCCAAACGTCATGGTGGAAATAGAAATTCTCTCCATTTCTCGTTAATAATAACACTGTTCATAATTATCATCATCTAGTGAGAATATAAACAATATTTAATTCCCTACAATTGGGACCTTATTCTCATTAACGTATTACGTAGAGTAATTACAAGGAAAAGAATTTTCCGTCTCTACTAAAATATGTTGCGATGCGACAGAGAGTGTTGAGGGAGAGGGAGGTGTGGCGACGCCAGGACTAGCGAGGCCACCAGCAGTACAACACGAGCCAAGCTACTGGCAAGAGTGTCGGACGGGAGACAACGTGGCGTCCACTAGACCAGGGCGAGGCGAAGGTTCCAACAATTCTACAACAGGTCCTTGCTCTTAATCGGCCTTGGAGTGTGTAACTACTTCAGCAGTAATCTAAGAATTGCATCGGTGGACAACCAGCAGGTTAAGTGTTCTAGTATTAGTTATAGGAGATCTCTTTATTATTTTTACTGTGCACTTGTCCATCGGTACGCCACAATACCTCCCCAAACGCCAAGTACGTCCGCAAGAAATTTGGTTTGTCCCTTCCATTGAGTAGTAATGTCACAATCTAATTTGTGTAGACAAATTTTACATTTCATTGGGTTTTCAGCGTGTGTTGGAGCAGCCGTGGTCTCATTATTTCCCCCACGCTACGCTAGTGGGTCACGGGTTCTAGCAAGTTCCAGATGACGCCATCTCGACCCCGCATCTCCGTTCACTGTCAAAGCTAAGCAGCTGAACCAGTCTTAATTTAGTTCTTATTTACTAATGAACGGTTGATAACTAATAATAATTTGAGAATATATTTCATTTAGGTGATTTAGGAAATCAAGCACAATTTGATAGCCTCATGAACTTTAGATGAGAATAATTTTCTTGTTTAAACATTATCCAATATATTCTTGCTACTAATCAATTTATCAAATGTCTATTTATTTATATCTTGGTAAGAGTTACTGATTTTATTCGAGGAAGAACCAGCCTCGATGAAGTGTACTGGGAGTACTTTACTTCTGGTATAAACCCCCATTTGTGAAGGAGGGAAAATTTACTCTTGGAATAACAATTTAATTTGCAGTCCATTAATGTTCAAGGAATAACTGCTAATAGTTACCTTATCCACAGGCACTGGTATTTCAGTCCTTTCTATTGTTCATTTATCTGTTTCCCTTTTCAGTAAAAATAGGGTGGTCCATCGATTAATTTTAATCAGTTAATTAATCATCAATAGATTGAGAGTAAGCTTTCTTCCCAACACTATGCACCTTGGCGTACCTGGTACCTTAACCACTAGACCACACGACTGTACAAAAATTGTGGCAGTCATGAGACTATTTATCCAAGATCCGACAGCACTTGGTGGTCAACTTTGGCATAGATATTTTATCGAA